CAAACGTTGCGACCCCTCTCACCAAAACTGCCCGTTCAAAGCTCTCGTCACGAACGGCTGGCTAACACAGACGCGCTTAAAATGCTTCGAGCATTTCTTCTCTTTGTAATTACCTGAACGAAATTACGGGTATTCTGTCTCTTTAAAGTGCTTGGAATAAATGGTCATCTTCGTTGTAACTGCCTTGAAACGCGAACCCATTCTCGATGTGTATAGCTCGACATACCGTTGCGCGACGAGTTTTCTCCTACTTATGGCAAAGAATAGACTTTTTGTAGACCGTACAATAGAGCTCTACATTATTAGCGGGACCGTTTGCTGTCGCCACGTTGAGCACAGATTGAGCTGACGGTCATGCACAAGAAAAGAGTAGAAACCCGCAGCGTATGCGATAAACGAAAAGTCCCTAACAAAATTCGACATCCCAGTCCTTCATGCAAAGCTCTTGCAAGGCGGAGCACAAGATTTCCTATTTGAACGCGCTCACGTTTTTCAGTAAAACGGCTTCACGCATCAAGGCCGACAGTCCTTGCCACCGTTTCCGCGCCGCCGCCGCCGTTGCCGTACCCGCTCCTCTGGTTCTCCGTTGGTCCGCGAGAGGGCGAGCGGCGGGCTGAAGTTGCGAATAGAAATGACTCAGCGCCTTTGGATTCGGAGCATGGTTCGTCCACACCTAATCAATGTTAAGCATCTCCTAGTTTAGCGTGGAACGTGATTGGAGCTGGCGGCCCTGGCTTTGGCCTTTAGTCCATCGTAGGATCAGACAAAGTATAGCTTGTTGCAATGAAGAGGTGAAGGAGGTTCTGGCTCATTATAATATGCCCCTCGAAGCTAGATATTTTTCAGAATGTTTGGTTTGTTACAGGTTTGTCTATTTAATTTAATTGTCTGCTTTTTCGCAATCGAATAGAGCACCTCAATGTTTTAAAAATAGTTATCGACTTGCTCTCAAAGCTCAGCGATGTATGCTTCAGCGGGAGACACTTTGCAACATTGTACGACAACAGCGAACGTCGTGGCTGAAGGGTAGGTCTGCCTCACCTTTACGCGCAGTCAGAAGTTAAGCTGGGCTTCTGCTTGTAAAGGGGTATATGCCTTTCTCGTTTACCCTCGTATCCAGCCACATACTGTAAACGACTTAATTTTCGCGAAGACCTGATTTTCGTGAATTCCGCGAATCACTTACAACTCGCGAAAAATAGGTCCCTCGAACAACTCCGGTAAAATGTAAACACATTGGAATCTGTGCTGAGATCTCACCGCGTCGCGAAAATTAGAACCCGCGATTTATTTCAAAACTTCAGTTTTTACCTAAATCGCGAAATATTGAGCCCGCGAAAAATAAGTCGTTTACAGTAAGCAAGGCAAGGCATTGCAACCTGGAAGCAAGGCATTAGAACCTGGAACAAGTAAAAGTATACAAAAATGCAAAACAAATATGATGGACAGTAGTGATTGAAATGTGAACTACTTCTTGTGTCATGGCGGCAGCAAAGCAATGTTTTCCCTCATAGAGGAAGTTCCGCTATTCAAGATGGCGGCGCCCGTGCCCACTTTCGTTTACTCTTGTTCCCAGCCACGTAGTTTACAAATCCGGTATGAAAGATGACATAAAAGCAAGGCATTACAACCTGAAATAAATAAAAGAATTTAGAAAAGGGGAAAAGAACATATGATGGGCGAGAGCGATTAAAGGCGAACTACTCCGAGTGCCGAGGCGGCAGAAAAATAACGTTTCCCCGCATACAGGTAGCTCCGCGATTCAAGATGGCGGCGGCCTCGTACGATAGGTTTATATACCACTTTCGTTGTTCGAAATCTGTAGCCATGTATGCGGTATGCGGGATGGAAAAAGAAAAAGAACATGGCATTATGACTTGGAAGAAGTAAAAGTATATAGAAAAGGCAAATATGATAGACGGTATTGATTAAAACGTGAACTACTCCCAGCGGCGTGGCGGCAGCAAAGCAATGTTTCCCGCATACAGGAAAATCCGCGATTCAAGATGGCGGCGACCGCGTAGAAGAGGTCTATAGTTTGAGTTTTAGGCAAGGTAGTGACTATTTCGACGTCCACTTTCAAAATAATTTAAAATATTATTTTGACGTCCGTGATGCCACTTCACGAAGGCGTGAGCTTACCATCCAAAACATTTTGACGTCCCTCGTCAAAAAGTTTTTGTCATTATTTTGACGTATTTTAGAACTTAGTACTTTCGAGCTTCGGAGTCCGGACTGGGGAGCTATCGAAGGTGGCGGTCAAAAAATATCATCTTGCTTGCAAGCAGCGACGCGGTTTGACATTCATTTTCCGATAAAAAATGTCGTGCAGTCGACTGCTATTGTTATGACATTTTAAGTGATGTGCAATGCAAAAAAAAAAAAAAAAAAAAAAAAACCTTCTCGAAGGGTGAAAGCAACGTTTTTGCTTGGCTGTGTCAGGCGTTACAGATGCGGCTCGGCTGCTTTTCATGATTTATTTCACGTGGTTTATATTGATATAGGAGCTAAATGACGTGTGCTAACATTTCCAGTTGATTGGAAAATGCGTGTATCTCGTACAATTGCACCAGAATCTTTGTTCGTTTGTGCCGTTTAAGAAACATCAAGGAGGCGATGTTTGCATTCACTCCATTTTATTTGATATCCCAGATCGTTTCGTATTTAACCTGCTCGTTATACACGAACCCAAACAGAAAATATACACGAAACAACGAACTCACGCAACCTGGTTCAAACAGGGCGGGAGCAAGGTGCAAAGCGAGGCTGCAATTACAAACAAACACTTGCATGATATAAAGACACAAAAAGCGTGTCAAATTTCTCAGTGTTACGTAGTGTACGCACTTACACTTGTTACGTGCAGGGAAGACAGGGGGTATTTAGCACGCCTTTGTTGTAGGTTAAAAAGTTTAAGTGAGACGCGTGCCTAGATGCGAGCTCAGAACGCTCAGAATATCACCACCGGGTGTGTCACGTACGAAAAGATAAACTGTCGAGTCTGTCCCACACGCACGCTGAATAAGACATTTCCACTGCCAACTAAGACCGAAACTATTTGTCGAAATGTCAACACAACACCGACGACACCATCAGAAACGAAACAGAGTGAAGCCACAATACGGCTACCATTGCGACAGCTGCAGGATTAAAGCGGGACGTCGAAATAATGCAGCAACTATTTGGAAGTTTAACAGAAGTAACTTCACAGGCGTCGAAATAAGTTTCGAGATATTGTTGACGGTGGACGTCGAAATAGTCACTGCCGTTAGACAGCATTATGAAACAGTGTCTAAGGTTTTATTTCGTTGCCTAATACCAGTTCACCTGAGCTTCTTCCAGTTTGAGTGTTTTTGTTCTCTTTTGCTGCGAGCCGGGGCGAGGGCTCTGCTCGGCGCAGCCGCATTCCAACTGTTTTCTTATACACGCCCCGTCTACTGCGTCTCACATTCCAACAGGCTCTGAGAAAGTAGCATATTAGCACTGTAGCCACAGAAGGTCGACCCCACAAGTAAGAAATTCACGGAGCACTCACGCTATTATCATGCACGACCCAGGGCCGCTTCGCGCCGTCCAGTGGCCACAGGTGTGCACTGTTTCTCCGCAGTTTCCTCCCCACAAACACATCCCATTCTGTGCTACCTGCTGCTTTTGCCACGCTAGTAGGGCCAAGGGGCGACTTCGCGCGGCGTTTGCCTATTTTTCTGGTGCCTTGCCCGTCTCTCGAAACTGTATGCTCAGCTGGTTCTATCCACAAGCACGACAAGGGACATCGTGACGACTCCTGAGAGAGTGACGCCGCGTGGCACAGTGACATCACATGACATCAGGTGACTCTGACGCTACGGTGTCACGTGACATTATGAGTTACGTGACACCCTGTTGTCACGTGACGTCATTATATTATTCAACACCGTGATATTTTCGTTGAAGTCATGTTACGGTAGTCAACACGATTTTATTTGCAAAGGAAAAGTAGTGTTTTTTTCGCCACACATATCACGCTAAAATAGGATGCATTAGACATAAGAAGCTAATGTAAACAAAGTACGAGAGAGTTTTAATTATTAATAAAGGTAGACATGTGCGAGCGAGATTTGAGAACTAGGGAGCCTTCCTGTGACAAAGTTGTCCCAGGCGAATGGAAATCTAGGACTTTTCTACCTAGACCACTTGAGCGTGCTGCAATTTCCCAGTGGCACTTGAGTGCTGCCAACCCGTGTAGATAAGCGATTTTTTTTAAATTCTCTTATCATCCATGCAAAGCATACATGACGACGTTGTTACTGTGGACGTTCTGCCATTTCACGTGTCGTTTGAATGCAGCGGTCAGGTAAAACTCTAACCAGGCACGTAGCCAGGATTTTGGTTTGGGGGGGGGGGGGGGGGGGGGGAGGCGACCATGGCAAAATGCTGTATGAGGGGGAGGGGGGAGAGGAGGTTCCAGCAAAATGAAAGATTTGGAGGGGGGCCCGGGCCCCATGGGCCTCCCCCCTGGCTACGTGCCTGACTCTAACGGTGCCAAATCCAGGGAGTAGGGTCGGTGGAATAGGGCTACAAGTCACGTTTATAAATCTTTTGCGAGGAGATACGGGCAGTTGAAAAAGGCATGTTGTCGAGTAGAAATATTATGTCACATTCATGCTTTTCAGGCCCTTCCTCGAAAATGGCGAAGTTCATTGTAAAGTGCAAACTTATTGCAAGGGACGTTTCTCGTGACTGATGAAGTCCAATACAGAGCGCAAACTTTTTTCCAAGGGAGGGGCATTATTTCTCAAACAACCCTCTATGTCCCTCATGTTTCTTATGCCTATATCTCCGCTAAGCGTACCCGCCTTTAATACCGTACGCGGTGATCTTATTCCTACATCGCATGTCTTCTTTTGATCGTCCTTCGCTCCGAGACCGCTTAAATTATATTTCGGGTTGTAATTTATCCGATAGTATTTAGTTTAATTTATGGTACTAATTTACAAAGTGTACATGTTTTATTTTTCCAGTTTCCATTGCTAAAAATAATGGAAAAAGATATTCCCTATGGTGTTATGAAATTTAACAAACAATACCAAATACAAGTCATAGATGGGGAAACAGTAGCCAACCTGATATACTATATGTCTACCTTGAACGAGTACGTATGTTTAATATAATGTTCAGAAAATAACGTTATTTCACTTATTTTTAAGTATGACAACTCGTATCTGGGTATTGCCAGGTCAAGCGCGTTTGCATGCACTTCGAGTTCAATTTTTGTCCTGGAATCGGTTTGCCACACATCCGCGTGACAGCTGCAACTACCCAGAGGAAAAAAAAAATATTTCTCACATGGCATGTGAGGGGTGATAAAGGATTTAAAATGCAGGAAGAATTATTCAGTACTAATCATAACAGACCATAGCTCTCATTAAATGGCGTAAGTTGACATGGTGTGCTCACAAAATTAAATATATTATAGGACCTTCATGTCTCAATCCTGTTAGGAAGGACAAATATTAAAAATTTGTTCAATCTGAAAAACAAACTATGTCCTAAGCTTTTATGTTTTTGTTTTTTTTCTGAATTTGTTAAAATAATTGATATATGCCTAATTTCATTAACATGTGTTTCATAGGCGTCTTCTCGAGAATTATATCGGCTGGCAAATCATATGCAATCTGGCTCAATTCTCCGGCGAGAAAGTGCACAAAGCATTTGTGGATATATTTAGAAGAGACTCGGACACCGAGGTCACCTATACTGCGAGGCCCGAGCTATGCCTTGATTTTCTAGCCGGGAAATCGGGGATTATGCGACCTGCTGTGCAATACGTCTACATTCAATCATTCTTTAACGCAAGTGCTAAAAGAGAGGTAAGCATATAAAAATGGTAACAATAAAAAAAGCTTTATATTCCCTAATAGGTCACAGTGCTCCATGAAACAAAAAAGACCTGCGGAACGCTTGCCCTCGCTAATGTATGTGATCCGCTTCAGGAGCACGTACCGTTAGGCTGGCCTAAAGTAACCATAGGGCTCCACCTTTTACTTACTCTAGGCATTGCTAGTATAACTATATATGCGGGAGGCCACACGCTTCATAGTCCGCTTCGTTTCGTTGAGCACCGAGCGGCAAATAATTTATATTTACATACTTCTCAAATCTCACAACTCAATAACATAAATTGAGTTGTTAAGATAAATCAATATATAGCTTTCAGCACCTTTTATTTTTAAACCCTGAAATATATAAAAGCTTTCATAGTACTAATTTTCGCGCGTTGGAAGGTTTCCAATGAACGTAAAAACCATGAACATTTTAAATTCAATACAAAATAGCTTGGTATGTGGAATTACAATAACCCCAGTTGTATTGGTTCCCAATAAGGAGTGCAAGTTTGTCTGCATCTTGCACAGGGGTTACGATTGTGTTAGAACGCCGAGCTGCTATTGGCTGATTGAAAAACAAAAATAGTGGGTGGACAACACGGCATCAAGCAGTGAGGTCTGTCCACTATCCTTTCAATCAAAATCAATCAGAGCTCGGCGTCGCTCTGAAGTCACTGCAACTCCTTTGAATGAAGCAGACGACTTACTATTCTGATAACCCTCTTATTTAAGGTCGCAATACGTTTGGTATTGTATATCTCTGAGGAATTGGTGTCCCGAAAAATAGGTAGTGTATCGGGTTCTAACCAAATAATTTTGACTTTTTTGCAAAACAAAAAAAAAAAGTATTCTGTTGCCCAATAAGAAATTAAAAAAAAAAACAGGGCTGACGTATATAGAATTTCAAAGTAATGTATCATGGGGAATTTTCATATTCTAAACCGGGTTCAGAAAATAAAATAATCAAAATATGCTGATGAATGAGCCACACCGATTAAGCAAACTAATCGAAAAAAGTGCCTGTAATGCTTCTTTTGGCGGCCTTGTAATAATCGTTCCTTTCGATTAGTAGAACTTGTATATTTCCGAAAATAAAAAAAATACAGATTAAAATATTACATGTTAAAAAAAATAGTAAGCGATTGGCCTGCTTAAGCACAAGGCACCTCTATGTCGGACCAAAGTAGTAAGAACTCAGAAAATCAGGAAAGGGGTCCTGGGTTCCGACGGTGAACTCAGCACCCATAGTTAATCTCATATTGTAAAACAAGTGGCGAAAGGTGCCGGCCGTTACCGCCTTCCACGCATCCGACAGCATACTGATGGTTACAATAAATGCTCAGGGTACATCTTGATGACATACAGTACACACTTTCGATGCCTTTTCTCTATTCACTTTGTTTTGGCTATAACAAGAGGCCGTTTGCTTCTAGATCCTGGATGACCTTCCGACTTCCGCTTGGCTCCGACAGATCCCACTTTCTTCATGATGGCATCATCTTTTTATTGTTACTATTCCACATTTTTTACGTTTGTTTTGGGTTTTTGTTAACGACATCGACGCAGACATTGAAGTTGGAAGATGCAGTAGACGTCATTTGATATTCACTGGGGACAACAGAAGAAGCCATGCGCCTTTAGAAGAACGTTGGTGGACAGCGAAGCGGTTTCCTGACGTTTAAGGTCCCCGATACTATACCACGATTACACCTTGGATTCGACAAAGGCCACGGCACGAAGAAAAACGCGAAGGCCCAACTGAACATTTTTTGAGCGCCGTAGCGTAGGAAACAATATTCCCATTACAGCCTTAATCCAGATTCTGCATTGCACAGAACGCGGGAAGAGCGCGGTGTCGTGGTTACAGGCAACACGGAAACAAAAAAAGTGGCGCGACTCGGTTCGGGGTTTACATGGTGAAAAGTATCGATTGTTAAAGAGAGCGCGGTGGATCAAACATGATCGTGCATCTCGTGTGACTTAGCGGAATTTCAGTAGGATTTAGTATTATGCAAAAAAGGGGTTCGCGCGAGACGATACTATAAGGGCGGGGGTACAAAACATATCGTAGTCCATATTGCCGCCCAGTATTAATAATTTGGTATTGTGTTGGGACGTTGTGTTCCAATGAGAACTACTACGGGTTCATTGGGTAGCAACTCTCGTTGGATGACTATAACTCCCATATGTCTATGTTGGAGGACGGCTGCTTTAATAAGCACTTTCTTATTAAACGTTTTCAAAAGGCTGTACAAAATGTATTAAAAAAAACATTAATTATTACATGCTTGCTTACTATATTATGAGGATTAATATGAGTATTATTTTTTCACTTGGAACTATGTGGAATTCGCTTAATTGCTTTGTAATATTGTCCTCCAACTATTGAATTTACCACTTGTGTATGCACTTCGGTCAGCCTTGTAAGGTATACATAAATTAACTATAAAAAATTCCAAGCAAGTGTAGTGCGATGTGTGCACGTCAATCAAACAAATATGCCAATATAAATATCAAGAAAACTCAAGAATCATACCCAGAAAAGCCAACAGTCCAATTTTGAAGAACCGCGCGTTGTATGTTGAACGATATTTAATCTTTGTGTATATACGTTTATTTTTTATATTTCTCCGGGCTTTAGTTGTTATACTTAAGACTATCTCCACAGAAGGAAAATAATATAACGCACTTGACTCAACAACAGAGCTAACAAAAAATATTGGACGAAATGACGATGCTCTTAGAGGGATACTGAACCAAAATTATGATTTCGCAAAATAAGGCCCCAGAAGCGCTAAACGGGGCACTACAAACTAGAAAAAAAAAAGAAACATTATTTATCCATTGATACCTCAAACGGATGGCCGTATTTTTAAAAAAAGAAGGGCTTGATCAAACGAGGGCTATGACGTCACGATCCTCCCGGAACAGTTGAGAACGAGAGGAAGCGGCCTCGCTTCTCTCCTCCTCGCTTCGGTTCACCAGCTCGACGGGACGAAGCGAGGGGGAGAGGAATGAGGATCGTGACTTCAATCGTGTCGTCGGCCTCGTCGCCCGTGTACTGTCGCGCACTTGTTATGCAAAAATACGGCGATCCGTTAGAAATATTGCTGCATGTATGATGTTTTTGGGGTTTGCAGCATCCTGCCTATCGGTCAAGCCTTGTCTTGTGAGCCCGAAATTTCGGTTCAGTGTCTTTTCAAAGTTATCGAAATGTTATCAAATTAAAAAAAAAGAAAAAGATTTTTACCTTTCGTGTATTTGAACCAATTATAAGCTCGATTCTTTTTGCGAACATTAGTTTCAATAGTGAAACAAAGATTATACAGGGCCTATTTAGCCGTCATTGCCTCCTAGGGCTATTCTTATAGCTGACCATGCAAAAATATAATAGGACTTGGTGGAGGTTCAAAAATACTCAAAATGAGATTGCCCACACGCCTTCGCTTCTTATATATGCGTACTACACAAATCTACCTATATCTGAGCGCAAAAGTGACTCTAAATATGTAAACGATGAATAAAATGATTCCCATATTACTAAATATCAAGAGAGTATTCTTCTGACGCTATAATCAAGTTGCGTCTCTTTTTCTAACAGGTGATAAACATAATAGAAGTATTGAATCAAACTTTTGTTCGCACATTGAATTCGTTTTTTTGGATGGACGAGGATACGAAAGTCGCATTATTTAAAAAGGTAATTGAAATCAAAATGTTTCCAGTAATGAAAATAACTAAAAGTTTAGTAACTATAATTGGTGACAGGTTAACAATAAAGTTTAAAGAGGTGTGGGCAGCTAATACTATATTCTTAACCTGCCACCCACTATAATTCAATTGGACAACGAACTTCATTTTCTTTCAATATGTGTGTAGCTCAAACATCTACGCTATCACGTTGGATACTGGGACAAGATGCTCAACGAAAAATATATTAATAGCCTTTACCAAGACGTAAGTGTTTCGAAACATTCTTTGCTTTTAATAGCATTGAATCTCACGTTGTGTGGAATAAAAAAAAATTAAAGATACCATAAAGACCAAATGTCAAACATGGAGAAAATAACCGAGGAGTAGATGTCACGTACTCCCTTTGCTACCTAATAACACAATGGCTCCAGTCAGGAGGCATGTCGGTAGCTTATTTCGGTAGCTTAATTGTTTATTTAGTTTTCGCCTATGTATGCCCGAATGTAACGGAGGTTTTGATTTGCAAGGTTGCATGCACGACATGAACATCACCATCGGTTTCGGGTAGTACTCTATGGCAAGATCTACAGAGGTAACCGCTTTGACAGTTGGACTCAACGCAAACCCAGAAACGTTTTTACAGAATATTTAATACAGAATATTACTGTACATCTCTGCAACCGTATAGTCAATGACTTCCATTAATAAATAACGTTCACAGGACGACGTGGACGAAAATAAAATTAGGACTGAAAATGAATTTGGTGACGTAACTCGGTATGATGTGCGAACTTCGGGCTTCATGCTAAGTATTATAGCGCAGGCAGTATTTTTATGCCGGGTTGCTCCACCTTACCTTGAGCAGCCATCATAACTAATTAAGCGGGTATTTTTAAGTCGAAATATGATTTCGGTCTCGTCATTTAGTGACCCCGTATTGAAAAATCTGGCAAAAACTTCCAGTGACATTTGGTGGAAGCGGGATAATTTCCACTCATTTTCACCAGAAACCAGCGTAGTTCACCAGTTTATTACTGGAAATATTACCGGCCGCCACTTCCAGTAACCAGATTTCGCTGGACCTTTTACCGGAGCCACTTACGGATAAAATCCGGCAAAAAATTCCAGTTAGATTCGGTGAAAACGGGTTATTTTCCCTCATTTTCACCAGAGACCAGCGTAGCCACTTTCGCTGGAAGTTATATTAGAGCCACTTTCGATTACCCGCCGCTGGAATACTACCGGAGGCCACTCTAGTTTGCCGGACACCGAACATCACTGGAAGCCGACGCAAGTAGGCGAACGGCTAAAGTGAAGGTAGCCAAGACGAGCAGGGCGACTGTGTTTGTAATGGTGATCTGAATCTGGTGATCTTCTGGTGAATTCTGGCTTTACTGGAAGTGAACAAAGTCCCATAATCCAGTAAAATGGACTTTTATTGGAAATAAACTTTCGGTAAAAATTCGGTGACATTCTGGTACAATATCTGGTGACATTCCGGCAAAAATCCGGTAAAATTCCTGTAAAACAACCGGTGACATTCCAGTAAACAATCCGGCGACATTACGGTAGACTACTGCTTTACTGGAAGTGAAAACAATCCCATAATCCAGTAAAATAGACTTTTACTGGAAATGACATTCCGGTGAGTATTAACTCCGGGAGCTATTAACTCTCAGAATGCACAGCAAAAAAAAAAAGAGAATCACGGACAGTTTTTACGAGTGTCACACTCGTAAAAACTGCCTATGAACGCTTAACAGCTTAACAGTCACCTAGCTGTGTTTGGAGATTTTTGTTTATCCTTAATCCCGCTTGATCCCCTTCTCCAGGGAATATTATCGTCAGACTCTATTTGAATTTACACTCTAAAAACCACGCGTGTTTCAGCTTTCACTCGAAACACACAGGTAGACAATCCCTGTGACGAACGCAGGGTTCCTTATTCATTAAAGACTAAGAATAAAACTAGAGCCACATATGCAGTTCCTTCAAGTGAGAAATAGAGGTTTTGCAGGCGCTGCAGCGTCACTCCACCCGTTGTGGCGAGCCACGCGTTCGTACTGGTTAATCCAGTCTTCGACGTCCTCATAGATCTCGCCGAGGAAGGGAGCAGGTGTCCGCGGCGCGACGGGCAGGACGACGACGGTCGGGGTGGTTATGGTCGGGATCTTGTGCTTCCGTGTCTCGGGCAAGAGACCAAGTTCGGGGGACTGACCTCTGGTGCGACGGCTTTTTTGGGCTTCGGCGTCTTCGGCGAAGGGTAGCCTTCCGCGGCTGAGCACGTCGCTTGGTCGGGTTGTCTTCGGAGGTGTACGCTCAACGGGCATAGAATGCACTACCCCGCACCTCCACCAAAATTGTCACAAATGACAAGTGATGAGACGGCGAATGACAGAGTAAACTGAACGTTTAATGGGGGGAACTTGTGCCCAAAAATAAAAAGGAAACAGAAGATAAGAGCAGAGCGTCGCGGGCGTCGAAGACGGCGTAAGAGCAGAGTCGAACGCTGGGGCGAGACTGACTTTGGCTCGCCACGCGAAGCTCCTTATGTACACGCGAAGGCTTCTGGACTAATCGGCGTAGAAGGTTTGACGCGTACAACATTCGGACCTAGAACAAACAACAATGTACTCGAATTCACCAGAACATTAAACTGAAATAATAAATAAAAGACCAGTAGCTCCCTGGACTCGAACCCTGGCACTTCGCGTGGGAGGCGAGCACGATAACCGGAAGTCCACGGCTGTGTAGCCTACTTCGCCAGCTGCGCGCCTGGCAATATTCGACGTCATCGCACTGGCGCGGATCGCGTGCGAACTTCAAATTCGGCATTTGAAACTTGTTTTTTTACTTTCGAATTTTGAGGGTAATGTCCGGGCATGGTTTTCAATCGTTTGAGATGATAAAAAAATGATTTTGATGTGTCAGTGCCCCTTTAAGCTCTCGCGCACAAACGGGAATTGATGTAACTTTTGTCAAACCCTACGTTCGATTACATCACTCGCTTGGGTTCATCGCAGGAGCAAAAACCTCGATGTCGGCGGTGACAAAAAGTTACGCTACGGACGCCGAGTGAAGCAGCACCTACGCCCACTTAATTTCACGGCTTTTAATATTTTCGTTTGACAAAGTTGAATGTGATATTCGGTCCCGAGCGAAGTAAATCGGGGTAGTTTTAGGAAAGTCGTGGTATTCAAACTTTATACCACGTGATTCCGTCGTTCTGCCACGGTTGAAAAAATCCTCCTTTACCGGCGCGAGATCCGGCACCCGTGGTGGAAATCGATGCTATATCAAACCAACTTGAGCACCTTTGCAACGCTTTTAAAAAACTACTGAGGGCACAGCCTGCTTTGCAGGAACTCGGAGCTTTTCGGCGATTGAAGGTTTAGCCAGTAACAAATTGGAAAAATAACCTAAGCTTGTGTCACATGCTTTGGCTTGGAACTAAGATGGCGCATGGCCGATTTGCTTCTACCGGTAAACGATACGACTCTTACGCCATCGTAACAAAGCATAAATTGAAAGTGTGAGGCACGACAACCGAATCCTTCGTCCAAGTTGAGTGATGGGAAGTGGAAATACTATAAAGTTGCTGCATCAAAATCTCTGGCAGAGCGTTCCTGCCCTCGAAATGCTGACAAACCGAAACTAAAAAAAAGAAACAAAAAAAACTTGACGCTACAAAGGTGGTTCAGAGCGTAGTGTCACCAGACCGCCAAGCATTTTGCATAGCGTCTATTAGGTCCACAATCTTGGTCCGTGTACTCACTCCTTAGGTTTAAGCAATGTAAAACTAATCTAGCTAAAAAAAAAGAACGATTGAGTTTCATTGCTATCTAGTTCGTTATTTATACGGCTTAATAAATTAAACAACGCCAAAACCGACGAATTCAAAACTTGCTGTTCCGTCCACAGTCTGGTGATGTTTTAATAGGGACCTCGGGTGTCTATGAATTCTGAACAGTACGTAAGACATCCACCTTTCACTGCATCCTGCTAATAATTTCGGCTTCGTTTTAATAAGAACTACCCGTATTCTTTTTTTGGAGTCACTATAACATCTCTTGGATACAAATTTTGGCGACTGAAGCGTTAGAAATATTATTAGATAATGAAATAATTGATGAAGATATACTTTCAACACGTTCCTCAAGCCTTTAAAAAAATAATAATTTGAGATTCAGAGGTCAGTTATTTGTCTAAAAAACACAGCTAAAATAGTTTAAAATGAGGACTGTCAGAAGGATTACCTGTCGAAATGATAAAAAATATCAGGATATTAATAACAACGTTCTGCGCTATCCACCTCATCAGAAGGAAATCTGCTGGCATTATTAAAATGTACACACAAAAAGCAATTATATAAAAAAATAGTTTTCCACAGAAAGCAATAATTGATGTTCACGTTTGTCATAACGAACGTTTTGGGCAGCCATTTAGTAAATTCCTTTGGCCAGATGAGGCTTCATTGTTTTATAAATCGTTTTCTCTTGTGGAGAGAAAAATTTACAAGTATTTTTTTCAATCCTATCATGAATAGAGTACAATATTTAAGGAGAAATCATTTAAGTTTACTTAGAAGCCCTTAAAACGTCATTTCGTATAGTAAAGAATCCATTGTATAATAATTTCTCGCGCTAAATTCAACTTGAAAATTTACGTAAAGTAATGTCAGGTCACGCCCCTTAGCAAAAAGAGGCCGTACTTAAAACAAAGTTGAAATATATTTAATATGAGTATTTGTTTTTTATTCATTCTGTATTATCTTGTCCACATTCGAAATACGCGCGTGATGTACTCAAAACATGTCATAAATATTAATCAGAAAAAATTCTAGATATACCAAAAATATAATTCCTTCCCCTTCAACATGCCATTTGTGTATTAAAAACTGGCTATACACAAATTTGTATATTTGGTGTTGGATTTTGTTAGTAAGTGGTGTCCCTGTGGTATTTGAAGGCACTACTAAATACATCCCACTACACGAACACCTGAATCACAGTCCCGTTGACTGCTCTAGACCCTTACACAGCCTACATATCGAAGGTAATCATTTGGTCGGTGACCCCCTCTGCACTTATTAAGGTTCCAAGTATCCGATCTTCTCCTCGGGAGTCTTTAAAAATGGAAACAGTGTTTTAAAGGTCGTGGACGATATCTCTCACTGAAGAGCATTGGTACAACTAGTAATAATTCGGCGCAGTCGCTAAAACAATATCCAGAAAAACGGCTCCTAGAAGAAATTTTATTGCTTC